TGTGCCACTTAGATTGGGCAATTCACAGACAATATCTCTGTGTGACCAGTAGTGTAACTCTAATAATCTCTCTCTGTTGAAAAAGAAGCTTCTTTGTGGGTGATGACTGGGATACTTGTCTATAAGTTTAAGGATTCATATTTTGCACAAAGCAAGAAATTACATTTGTCTAGGGATATGAGAGCCTTGGAGTTTTCTCTAAGATCTATGACCTCTTCAGCTATGTGTACTTGGCTAGGTTTACAGTACCAGACATGAGTTTCCTCCCATTGAGTGGGTTTTTAATTCAATTAGGTATCTGTTGATTGCCCCCAAGATAAAAGTGTTACTACTGCACCAATGTCACTTGATGTGATAGTCATTGGTGTAGTTTTTAGGCCTTGAAGCTGGGGTTGAACCATCGATTGATGTCCTCCCTTGGCAGCTTGCATTGTGCTTTCCTAAGCAATGAGAGTTAGCCTTCAGGAGAGGTGGCTTCCAGATCAGTCCAAGTTCCAAATCCTGTGTCCAAAGTATGTGCTGTCCTCAGCAATAGGGTCTTACCATCAAGATCTGGGAGGCAATCAAGGACTGAGGCAATAGTCTGCATAATTTTGGGAGTCTCCTGGTCTACCTTGACTAACAACTCAAAGGAAGGTTTCTCCCATCTGGCATTGTTTCTGGTTATGTAGTCTTCAGCTATACTCATGGACTTATGTAGGGATATTGTATGTGTAATTTTTCAGTAGGTTTTTAGACCAATGTGATTCCCTCTGGTTTTTTATACTAGCTAGGCACTATTTATCTCTCCTCTTTCTCTCCCTGTTTTATCCTCCCTCCCCACCCTCCCCATTTAAAGTGTCCCTATTTTCCCCATTTCTCCCTTGATAATTTGTATATGCTGTGGTCCCACCTCTTTTGAGCCTCAACTTCCCCTCTATTCCCATAATTCTTGTATAGCCCTCCTTCTCCTCTTCCCCTTTAACTAGACTCTTTTTACACATTTCTCCCTTAGTAACACCTGTCTCCTACTATTCTTCTCTGGGTTCCTTCTTTCCCCTTACCTCCCCGGTTTCCTTCCATTTTCCTGGTTCCTGAAGAACATGAAGAGAAAACCCATGGAGTGGGAAAAAAATCTTCACTACTGACACATCTGACAGAGGTTTAACATCAAGAGTATAAAAAGAACTCAAAAAACAAAGAATCAAGATACCAAATGACTCAATTAATGAAGGGCTAAAGTTCTAAAGAGAGAGTTCTCAAAAGAAGAAATAAAGATGTCTAAGAAGCATCTCACAAAGTGTTCAACATCATTAGTAATTAGGGAACTGCAAACTAAAACCACTTTAAGATTTCATCTTACTCCAGTCAGACTGGCTAAGATCAAGAGAACAAATGATATCAAATGCTGACAAGGATGTGGAAAAATGGGAATGGTCATTCATTGCTAGTGGGATTGCAAATTTGTGCAACCCCTATGGAAAGCAGTGTGGAGAACTCTTAAAAAACTGAAAATGACCTGGTTATAACACTCCTTGGCATACACCCAAAGGACTCATCCTATTGCAGAGATACTTGTACAACCATATTTGTTGCTGCTCTTTTCACAATAGCTAAGAGATGAAAGCAACCTAAGTGCCCCTCAGCTGACAAGTGGTTAATGAAAATCTGGCACATTTATACAATGGTGTTCTACTCATCAGTAAAGAAAGATGAAATAATGAAATTTTCAGGTAAATGGATGGAACTAGAAACTGTGACACTAAGTGAAGTAACACAGACTCAGAAAAACAAAAGATGCATGTTCTCCCTCATTTGTGGATCCTAGCACCAAATTCTTATAAGTGAGTGCATATCCTGATGTAACTGCACTTCCTTTTTTAGTGCAAATTAATCTTAAATTTATACAAAGTAATCTAAATTATAAAAAATGTAAATGAGCTCCCCTGTCCTGGTCCCAGTACCTTCCCTGGGTAAGTCCAGCGTGCCCAGCATGCCTTGACTCCCCCAGCCTCTTTCACCCTCCCAGCTCCCCCACTGAGTCTCTCCTCCTAGGCTGGGTACAGGCCCATTTCTTTTCTTGGCACCCCAGACACTGGGGCCAACCTCTTGGCCCATAGCCACCACTGCTTCCTGATCCTCTGAATCCCGACCAACCCAGTTCCTCCCTACCGTCCCCAGGAACCTTCTGGACCTGGTCCTGCCCTCACCTCCCTTTACTTCCCTGGGCTGCACAGCCTCTGGGTGGCATGGTGCCAGCACCTTTCCTGGTCCCCAGGAGACCTCTGGACCAGGTCCTGCCCTCATATCCCTTTGCTTCCTGGGCTGCACAGCCTCCAGTATCTTGGTCCCAGCACCTTCCCTGGGTAAGTCCAGAGAGCTCAGCGTGCCTTGACTCTCCCAGCTTCTTTCACCCTCCCAGCTCTCCCTGCGAGTCTCTCCTCCTAGGCTGGGTACAGGCCCATTTCTTGTCTTGGCACCCCAGACACTGGGGCTAACCTCTTGACCCAGAGCTGCCACTGCTTCCCGATCCTTTGCATTGGGCCCAACCAATTTCCTCCCTGCAGCCCCCAGGAACCGTCTATGCCTCGTCCCCCCCTCACCTCCCTTTACTTCCCTGGGTGGCATAGCCACCCGCTTCCTGAGAACATCTATCCTGGGCCCTTCTCCCAGGCCAGCCCAGCCCCCAAATTTTTGAGGGCAGCATCATTCCTGGAGGAACCCATACCTTAGGAGAAAGCCTGATATCATCTGAGCCTCATCTCACTTGGGCCTCTGTGGAAACTCCTGAAGACAAAAGCAACTAGGCCACTCCAATATAAAATCAAAAGAGAGAACCTGAAGCCTAGACCAACCAGCTTTTCATGCCCAACGAGTAAAGCACAAAGGCACATAAAGTTTACAAAAAGAAGCAGATCTAAGCTCAACAAAGGAAGGCTTGAGTCTCACACAAGAATCAGAAACTATGAAGGAAATGTCAAAGTCACAAAGAAAAAACAATAACATGAAAAACCAAAATAATATATCCCCACCAAGTACCAATAGTCCCTCAGAGGAGTACAGTGAGAACTCCCTAGAGATAATACAGGACATGGAACTCAAAAGAAGAGTTATAAACATGATAAAAGAATTCAGTGAATTTAAAGAACACACAAA